GCCAGGCTGATACTGAGGCGACAGGCGTGGGTTAAGAGTCCGTGCCCTTCTTGCTATACCCTGCATGCTCGCGGGAGGGTATTCACGGCGGGTGGGTATTGCCGTTCTTGTAGAGGGGAGTGGGAGAGGGAGGGGGAGGGGGGGGGGGATTTGGGAATGTGTAATTTTATTTTGTTTTTTTTCTTGTGTATTGTATTTTTATTAATTTATTATTTTATTGTTTTTTATTTTATTATTGTTATTTTTTGTGTGTGGGTTCATTGTTCTCTGATATTTCTTTCTTTATCTTTAGTTTCCGTTTCCGTACTTCGTTGGTTTTTGTTTGTATTTCCTTTTATCAATCAATTTTTGTTTCATTAAAAGACGCATATTTTCTACACTCTCTTTCTTTCTTTCTTTTTTCGTTTCACTAAAGTACAACCGTGCAATCTTTTTTTATCTATGAAAAAAAATATCTATCATCATTTCTTAAAATTCGTAAAGGTGCTTTCTCATTCTTTTCCCAACGCAGTAATATTATTATTCTTAGAAGGGGAAACACTGATAATTATTTTGCAATTACGAGAACAAAACGTTTGTGGAATTCATGGTAATGGACGCATATAACATACACACACTTACATAATACGTATATACATCACATACATACATATACATACTACACATATATACATACATACATATATACATACACATAATACACATATACACATGCATACATATATACATGCACATACTACAAATAAACACATACATACATACATACATACATATAAACATGCGTACATACATACGTACACCATCTATATGCATACATGCAACACAGTACACACACACATATATAAATAGACAGATATGTAGATAGACATATATTAAGATAAATAGATAGATGGATAGACAGATGCATAGCCAAATAGATAAGGATAGATAAGATAATAGATATAGGGAATGGGTAGATATACCAGATGGAGATAGATAGTACCTAGATAGATAAATATTGATAAATAGATGGATAAATAGGTAGATAGATAGAGAGACAGATATATTGTGTAGTGAGGTATTTTACGTTTCCGTTCAAATCAGTAATAATATATGTTTACATGAGTTGTTTTTCGTTGATTCTGAGTACGGAAGCCAAACACAAGTAAAGCTTAATAATGGTGATAGGCAATTTTAGTCATACACATGCTCTCTCTCTCTCTCTCTCCTCCTCTCTCTCTCTCTCTCTCTCTCTCTCTCTCTCTCTCTCTCTCTCTCTCTCTCTCTCTCTCACGCACACAACCCAACACACACAAACACACGCATGTATAGATACTGTACGTGTGTGTGTGGTGTTATGTTTGTATGTATGCATGTGTATATATGTGTATGCATGCATGTATGTACACGTGCATATGAATGTATGTATGTATGCCTGCATGCATACATTTACATAGATTTTCAATGTAAATCAAACGCGCCCACCAAGAGAACGAACGAATATGGACAAGCACATCTTATAAAGCAAATCTAGGAGAGGTCAGTGGAGCGAGCCCCCTCCTCTCCGACGCAGAGGATCGCGGAGCCTCCCGCTGCCCCGTCAGGAACTGCATCAGAACCGGTTCCTCTTCCACGGGGTCGCGTCTCGTCCCAACCCCGTCTGGCGTGCTCTGGCCGCAGCAAGCAAGGGCAGGTGTTTTCTTTTTTCTCTCTTCTCTCAATTTTTCCTTTTCTTTTTTTTTGTGTGTGTGTTTTGCTTTACGTTCGGGTAGGTTTGTGTGTTTTATGGGTGGGTGGTGTTGGGTTCGTTAATGACGGTGTAAGCAATTTGAAGATTGTGTGATAGGTCAGTGTTCGTAATATGACTAAATTTCGCATAGTTTATATAGATGGTGCGATTTCAAAAATCATAATCCATGAACATCTCTTAAACCCCATCCTAAAACTCCTTCGCACCGAGTTGCACCACGCAGATGGCCGGCTTAGCGAGGGAATGTCGAGTGGGAACACGCACGAGAAACTCTTACGGCAATTTTCCTCCTGCTAGTAACATCACCCCCCCCCCCCCCTGTCCCGCCGCCCTCAAGGCCAGACAACCTTCCTGCAACACCCCTGGGGCAGTAGATTTTTTTTTTTTTTTTTTTTTAGTTGACCCGTCCGTTTCCCAAGGTCAACTGGTGTTCTAGAGAGTACAGAGGAACATGAGAAGTGCTATGAAGGGGGAAGGGGGAGAGGGTGAATTGGGAGGGGGGAGGGAGGAGGACAGGTAATGGGGGATGAGCTATGAAAGAGTGGGGGCGAAAGAAGGAAGAGGAAGTAGAGGTATGAGAGGGGAATGAAAGAGCAGAGAGAGAGAGAGAGAGAGATGTAGGGAGATAGGCAGGGAAGAAGTTTTACAAAGGAGGAATGGAGAAAGAGAGAGAAGTGGGAAAGACGGAAAAAAAAGGAAGAGACAGATAAAAGAGACCAGACAGACCGACAGCCAGAATTATAGGAGAGAAAGACAACCAAACGATCTAAT